TGGCGTTTTAGGGTTACATTCTTGGCTCCTTTATTTTAAGATAGGCTGTTTATTTATTGTTAGTTTGTTTATAAACTATGGTTACGTGAATAAAAAAATCATATAACATCATAACATCACGCTTTCTATCCCCGAAGGGGTAGGCAGAGGTGTACATTATGCCACTGTACAATGTAACACCCAATTTTCACTATTTATCTTATGAGTCCCATGTAATAGGGGCTGAGCCTATTGCCATATACCGGGCACAATTCCAGACTCCGTGCTCCTACTGAGAATTTATAAAAACTCAGTAGTACTTTGCCCGACCCGGGAATCGAACCCGAGACCCTTTGCCCAACAGTCGTACTTGCGACCACTCTGCCAACGAGGCAGTCAGAACAGATGAATTAAAAAATCATCATTATAATTTAGAAAAATTGCAACGGTACTAAATATTTGGCTGTAGTTTTATTAATTAATTAATCCACAGTCATTTTTATACAAACTCAATTACTCTAAACCACAATAAACAAATTTTAAAATCAAGCTACAATCGTAACAATATTATATTTAGTTTTTAAGATTTCATACATTTCAACATGTAAAACATTTTACATCAACGAATTCAACCCCAACTGTTCTTAGACCCCTACTACACCCTTAAATCACTTACACAACACGAAAAAATCCCTAAAAGGGTCCCTTAAACGAATCCAACGAACAATCATAAAAAAATCCTCCTTGCGGTCGCACACAATCACAAAAAAACTCACACAAACAAAAAATATAAAAGAGTGTACGAACACGGAGAATGCATCTGTGTGCGTAATAGCCGCTGCTTCCATTGGGCACGGCGCTATTTCTTTATTGATCCATATTTCTTCTTCTTTAGACTGGCCTCGAAGGGGGAGTCCTCCCTCAGGGGGACACCTCCCAACCTCCCCGGAGGTGTTTTTCTACAGTTTTAATGAACGAAGGACTCGAAAATGGCGCGCAAGGAGTTTTGGGGGAGAAAGGGGGGTAAGGTTATTAATGCTTTTTAAGCTGAGTAATTTTCGCCCTTAACGTTTTTAGGCTTGCGTGCTTAGTTTTTGTTTTTAAGGCTATTTTGTTGTTTGTGCCTTTTTATGTGTTTGTCTAATTAATAATTAAGAATGTTTATTAAAGTTGGACGGCAGATAAAGTGGTGCTTTGTATGAATAGGGACGTTTGTAGGACTAGAACTCTTTGGGGACTAATAATATTAATTAATGATGGTGTTTGTAGCGTTAAAGTTGTATTAAGATGTGTGTTTTTATTTCCTAAATGCGCCTTTTATTGTGCGGCCATTGTTATTTAATTTTGATTATTATTTCACTACAATATTATAGATATATATAGTAGTTTATATATGTTTTCTTGTTTAATAAATAATGTCTATGACAACATATAATTATTATAACCTAGTATTGTACGCAAACATATTACACAGTATAAGAATTTAGAAAATAACTACAATATTTGAACATAATTTCAAGATTTTCTAAGAGATATACTAGGGTAAACTTATTATTGTAGACTTTTAGGCATAGGTTAAGTTTGATTCGAAAAAGGGTAAGTTTATTGTCGTACACTACGTCTTACTACTACATTTTTATTGTAATGAGAAATCAATTAAATAATTATTTATACAGATAGCTAAGACTGATGACGGTTAATGAAGTGAAAGAGGTATGTAAGAATCATAGCAATTGGCGTTCTATAGTCTCTGCCTACCCCCATGGGAGACAGGCGTGAGGTTATGTATGTAGGTATGTAGGCAGATAGCTTTTCTATCACTGAAACTAATTGGGACTAGGTAACATGTTATAACAAAGAATGAAAGAAATGATTTCTAATACATCTTTACTTCTTTACAACAAGATATTAGTATACTCAGCTACATGTGACATAATCTTCAATAATAACCAGAATTCATGACCCTTGTTTATAATTTTAGACCCAGAAACAAACATCATCAATCCATAATCAAAACACCAACACAATAATCAAACAGTCAACAAAATACAAAAAACAGAATCCAATCCATTGTCAATGTAACTTGACACTTTATCTCATTGAAACATTCGCCTCGAAAAGGGAAAAAAAGAAAAAAAACGCAAAAACAAAAAAGCCACCATGCGTGGCAAATTTGAAAAAACATACCTAATAATTTGGCTCATTACGAAAGCGTAGGAAAAACATATTCGTTCGTTCCCTTATATTCCCCCATAAATAAGGACGGCGGTTCGAAAAGGGAAAAATTTTATTATCCTACCCCCCCATTCCACCCCAAGGAGAAATATGAAATAAAATGAAAATGTAATGGGGAAAAAATACGGAGCGCGCAGCAAGACAAAGGGATGGGATGGGGTGCGTTTGTGAGGAGACGGCTTCAGTATAATACTATTCTAGGTGGTGAGTTCTTATGCTGGTAAGTATTCGCCGTAAGTATTCCGTTGTGGTTACATACATCAACAGCCTATAAATGCCCACTGCTGACCAAAGGCCTCTTCTCACACGGAGAAGGTTTGAGCATTAATCACCACGCTTGCTCAATGCGGGTTGGCGATTACAAACTTATAATTAGAAATTATAAGTCCAGGTTTCCTCACGATGTTTTCCTTCACCGTTTGTCAGTGGTGTCTGAATAATCTTAAAAAGTACATATAACTCGGGAAAGTCACATTGGTACTTGCCGTTGGTAGTGTGGTAGCGGGCGTCTTAAACCTCCGGGCCACCATGACATAATACCGTTGTGGTTACCTATCTGTTTTCTATTTATCTTAGAGGTGATTTTACAATCAACAGCTTATTCTTAACTGTAGAATAAGATCAACATCTGACAGTTTTTTAGTGTATCTTGTAGAACGAACAAAAATTCTAAATTGTTTCTCTGTTACAAGTTATCTAGTGTTGATATATCAGTCCTTAATGTGTCAGTAGGTATTTAAAAATAAAACAGAGTGACTGCCTCGTTGGCCGTTGCGATTGCCGGGCAAGGGGTTTTGGGTTCGATTCCCGGGTCGGGCAAAGTATTACTGGGTTTTAAAAAAAATCTCAGTAGTAGCACGGAGTCTGGAATTGTGCCCGATATATGGCAATAGGCTCACCCCCTATTACATGGGACTAATAACATAAATAGTGAAAAGTGGGTGTTATATTTACAGTGGCATAATGTGCACCTCTGCCTACCCTTTCGGGGATAAAAGGCGTGATGTAATGTTATGTTACAGAGTCTCAGATATAAAATGCTGGTTTTTTAATGGTGGCTTACATTCAAATGCATTGTTATTTTAAAACTCATAAAGTCCTGTGATCTGTGCGTGGATAACAATTGTGTGTTAAATAACGAATAGAACATTAATCAAATAATTATAGGTAAAATTACAGTATGTAAATGCACCCACATCGTTATCATCATCATGTCAGCCACAAGACATTCACTGCTGAACATACGCCTCCTGAACGCACCCACAACCCAAATGAAAATCTAATCTAAGTGCGAAGAAAAATTAATTTTACAAAACAAATCCTTATCCTATGACTTCGTACTCCACGTAATTGCTTAAATTAGGAAGTACCGAAGCATATCAACTATATGTAAAAAAAAATATATATTTTACTAAAGTTAAAAATTCTATCAGAATCCACTTCCACGCTAACCTACCAGTAGGGCGGGGGTAGACACCACAAGCCCGCGGCTCTGAAGACTGGCTCCTATAAATCTGCCTTATCATAAAAATATACGCATATCTGCCTGCGGCCTTACGATTGTGGCTTATACGCACTTTTATAAGTACTTATATTTTATAAGTACTCTTTGAAGTATGTACCTGGAGGTGGATTTGAAATTTTTATATTTAGGTTATTTTTGTTGTTATTTTGAGTTTTGTTCGTCTAATGAAATAGTTCTTTTTATAATGTGTTTTTAGCATGAGATTTTTTGATATCTAAATACATAGATAGATAGAAAAATATTATGTATAATATTTTCATAACTTGATAGTATATATTTTCATAAATAATGTATCATTCACGGCTTCCAAGTTATGATAGGTTAATTATTTTGTTTACGGCTTGCTTACGTAATAATTTGACGAGGAACTTACAATACAATTATGCAAGGTTACTATCCTCTCAACTGCTACGGCTCTTACGCGCCATCTCCGTTGACTGCTAACTTGCAAAAAAAAATGGCGGAAAAATAGACACCGGAAGGGGGACCGTCAGATTTTACGTAAATTTCTTTATTTTTGTATATCAAATACTATAACATGTATGCATTTCTGAATTCTGTATGAAATTTCCTATAAATGAATATACAAACTTCATACACTCCTTGAGTAAATACTGTTAGTAAAAGTTGAATAAAGTTTTAATTGTGGTATTTATCAATAAAACATGGATTTCTTATAGTTCAGTTATGTTTTATTTTAAACTTAAATCTAATATTTACAATATTTGATGTGTTAAATCATAGGCTTTAATACATTTTTTTATCATAAAACGCATTTACAAACACCCGTAAATCACCCACCATATTCTGACACGGATCTAGAATGAAGTTGTAACTGGATGCGGCATTACCGGATTAATCAATACAATTATTATCAATGACTTGACGTCCAGAAACAAAAATTGTTTTGAAAACAACTTTTGTTCAATGGTCAAGCGTGAGTCGGTATTTTTTTAACCAACTTAATAAAAAGGAGGTGTATGGTTTTCCAGAACTGCCCAGTTTCCGTATTTCGTAGTATTTTTCCGTTTAGTAGGGGATCCGTAGCTAAATGGCAAAAAACGCAACCCTTACAAATTCATCATGTCTGTCTGTCAAAACACAAAATTTACAAAAAACATTAAGAAACGTCAGTAAAAAAACTAACCTAAGAATTTGTCAGTCTGTCTGTGATGTGATGACTCTATCGAGGGTTCCAAAATGCAACGAGACTGAGAAGTACCCCCAAGAAACTCAGTCCGGCTTTTTTCAACATCTATTACATAGTTTTTTTATGCTTAAGACGATGAGCAATTCATTCACTGCCAAGCAGCCTTGTCATTGAAAAACTCTTTAATGCTATAGTAAGCCTCATGGCACAATTTTTGCTGATAATTCAGGCACATTACTTGGTAGTGTATTGTACTTACGGATACAGTTGTCCACCCGTATATCACAGTCACTTTTCTGCCAAACTATAACTCAAACTCAAAGTCATTTATTTCTTTTGGTTTTTACAAAAAGCACACAGAAACGTCAAATAAAAACTATACGGTATGTTACGATTTGTCAGTCAGTCTGTCTCGATTCTAACTTGGGGAGGCTGTGTCAGTCAGTCAGTCTGTTCGTTTAAGAATGGTACTGTATGTAGCAGCAATCTCGCTCTGGGTCAAAACATAAAGCAACGTTGCACTGTTTGCAAAACTGGTAAGTACGCTTTTTGCAAACAGCACACTGACGCTTTTGTCTACCAAATCCATTCGGCAGAGTTGGGAGCCATGTTGGAAAGTGCGCTATCACCTCAGGCGATAGTTTTGGCCCAGCGAGAGATAGCAGCGGAGCGACACTGACGGACTGCAAAGGCTGGCTATGTTTTTGTAATATAGCCTTAATTAAATCGGTTCTGAAGTCTCTGTGATCGACTGATTCATCAAAACACTTGCTGATAATGTAAGCGTTTAGAACGCTCACATTCAGAAGCCTTTTGAAGAATTTTTTGTACCATACCATAGTACGTTTTCTCTCTACAGGATACGTAGATAACATCTGGTCTTTACGATCTACGCCCCCCATACAGATATTATAATCTTTGACAATTGTGGGCTTACCATCAGAGACTGCGACCCCATGGTATGTCGAAATCATAGCAACCTTGTTCTGATCTCGCCACACCATCAGGTCGACGTCTCCGGATGTGCAGCCGCACACCTGTCCTACTCTCATGTTCCCCTGCTTTAAAGCGACAATTTCATTTGGGACAAATTGTCGGTTGGTCCGCAAAGTCCCGACGCAGTCGAGACCAAGCGTTTTTAAGACGCGGGCTAAAGAAGGGGAGTTATAATAGTTGTCCATCCATATGGTACGACCACTGTGTTCAAGGCCGTCCAACAGTCGAAGAACTAAATTTGGTATACTCCCCACAATTATTCTATCGTTCTCCGTGGATGGACTTTCAGCACCCGTATGGACTTCAAACCGCCACAGATATCCTGTGCGGGAGTCACATACTTCGTATGTTTTGATTCCAACTGCGGACTTTTTGTTTGGTATGTACTGTTTTATGTTTAACCAGCCCTTCCACTGCGTCAGTGACTCGTCGAGTGCAACGTTTTGGTAAAGATTAAACAATTTAGAAAATGCTGAATTTAAATGGGTAACTATTGGTTTGATTTTAAATAGTTTAGCCTCTTTAGGTAATAAATCTGGCATAAGAAGTCTATTATCATTAAAGTGTAAACATCTATTAATAAGCTGGAACCTAAAAAGAGGCATATATGCGGCAAAATGTGGTGTGCTGAAAATATTGCCATCGCGGCACCAGTATTCTTCCATTTTTGATTTGACAAGGACCCCCATAGCCAACACTATGGCAAAATAGACGTAAAGCTCGTCTAACGTGACGTCTTTCCACCTAGTGATGCGACTATGGGGGCCCATCAACCCCGTATCAAGTAAATGGGAGGCATACTCCTGTGCGTATAAATTAGTTTGGGTGACAATGTGCCCCATGATTGAATGGTCCCAAATCCTTGTGAATATCTCATAAGGATCTGTGGTCCGTTCAATCGTGGGGCCACTGTCACCAACAAACTTTTCGCGGCGCTCGGCAGGTGAAATAGGTTCCGTGGGGTAGCTCCTCCAAGTAAAATCGTACAGTGAAGAAGGTCCATTTGCTACCCCAGGGACCAAGGTGGACAACTGCTCCACATCAATGCGCCCGGCCGCTTCAGCCTCTTCGTTAGTATCTTCTTCGGGTTCAAAGAACATTTGCAGTGTGCGGGGAATCATGACCTCATTGTCGGCGCCATCCTCCTCCTCTTCACTTCCTATGGAGAAAGAAATAATTGACCAACCTATACATTAAATAATATGAATTGCTGGTGTATTATAAAAAAATACCAACCATAGTTGAGGAAGTCCTCAATCTCATTATCCTGTAGCCGACGATGAGGACCATACATTCCCCGCGCACGTGGCGTAATTGATGTACTACATTCCACAAACCTGAAATATAAAATAAATATATTATTTGAAGAATACTTTTGTGTTGAATTTTAATAAAACCTTGTGCGATGATACTTACACGCTCGGTGAAGGAGGGTCATCACATGTACTGAAACCAAAAAAAAATATTATTAACAAACAAACATATATATTATTTGCGGACACGCCCACTTCATAACACAGTATAACAGGTTATTTTATTACTTACTGAGCCACGCTCTGCTCCTGTATTAGGTTGCCTCCCGCCACGCTACCTTCCGCGACGTCACTGTTCATGACGACGCCTGCGTCGTCGGTAGGCGTTGATGACCAGATACTATTATAACAATAAAATAAGTTTAAAGTTACACGATTAACAGCAACTTGAAACAGGTAAAATATTTTTTCTTACCCTGATGTACTGGGAACAGCAGCTTCCGGTACATATCTGCGTCGCTTAGGCGGGTGCAAAGGCACCTCAAGAGGGCTACCGGCTGGCAGCTCCTCTATCATGCCGACGTTAATACTTAAAAGAAAACAGTTTTTTCAGGTTTACACGATTCGTATGCATATTTACTATTTGCTAAAAACGGGTCATAAATGTCGGATAAATGTCGTTAATAATATTACTGCAAATATCGGGATAAAAGTCCTAGCCTATGTCCGTTATCGGATCCCAAACTACCTCTATGCCAAATTTCATCAAAATCGGTTCAATGGTTAGGGCGTGAATGATGGACGGACAGACATACAGATTTACTTTCGGATTTATAATATTTATTAGGATTAATATTCAAGCAATTATGACTCCTTTAGAAAAATAGTGAATATAGAAAATCATTGAAAATTTAAAAAGCCTAACAATTAAATAAAAATAAAGCAATTACTCTTCTGCTGATATATGAGGCCGATTATGCACACCACCACGAACGCGCATTCCTCTTCCCCTGCGTCCTCCTCTACCACCGCGTGTACGCACACCGCTAAAGCAAAGTGAAATGTGCAAAAGTAAAAGCATGTGCGAAAAACAATCACCACAACAAAAAAAAAAACCAAATGCGAAAAACAAACACCACAACAAAAAATAAAATTAAAAAAAAAACAAACTTCACAAGAAAAAAAAAGTAAAAAAAAACGGTTGTTTAACCCACCCCAACAACATTTTAGATAGGTATATCAAAATACAAAATATTTAAATACAATTAAAAAAAATATATTATTAAAAACATTCACACTAAGGTATCCAAATGCCACATCTAGTTTTTCCTAAATCAGCGAATCAACATGGAGTCGGACAAAGCCCCGTAGTCTCCGTGGCGGCGCTAGTTTCTTTGCAAATCTAACAATTCATCCGAATATGAACTTTATGCAGTATGGCAGACTTTTAGTTCCTTTTTTCGCCACCGGTAAAAGAAAAAATTGGAATTCGCTATTGTCAAGGTCAAAACTTTGACTCGATAGGACTTATTGCGTATTTACATTGATTATTTGAAATTAATGCGCTATATCCACATTTGAATGTATTTAAACTGTAGATGATGAATATTTAAACATATTTTAACCTAGAACTGACAGCAAACACTAAAATTTAATATACTTTTTATGTAAACATTCGGCAACAAAAAATTTAATTCTAAAATGGCGGTTTGCTTCATGCACTTTAAAAATTCATTTCACTCGTAATAAATGAAATAAAAGACAAAATGAGGATACAAAAACAAAGGTTACTTACCCAGGCATTGTTTAAACACAATACACTCACAAAAACTTCACTTTTTAATTTATAACTTTGAGCTGCAAAAACTCGGAACGCGCGTCAATGACACTTGTTGGCTCACTGAAGTGGCCAACAAAATCAACAGACGATAAATCATAATATTTATTCTAACGAATCTGTGCTTTGGGGTTTATATGCTAGCTTTTTCTATCCTGAACGCATCGATATATGATTGAATGAGATAGAAATAGTCCTTAATGGTTTATTTCTTCATTCAAAAAGCGGGAAAAAAAAGTCCAAGAGCTGGACGTTAGCAGTTGACGGATATTTTGTCGAGTCCAAGAGCTGGACTTTGACAGTTGAGTTCTGAGTTTGGAAGACATTTAGTTATTGTAGAAATTGGTTCGTTTTCTTTATAAGTCTAATCACACAAGTAAAATACTTATATGTATTTATCACAGGTCAGTCGTTGCAGGCAGTCATATCCATGTATCCTAGCTATCTATCCACCTGCTTTTAATACACCAGTGCAAACTACAAAAAATATCTTCGATCTACCAACGATCGTCATCTTCAATGTCTTAGTCATCGCTCTAATTTTCTTCATTCTTCATATTTCATACAATCTGTGATTCTATGGAATGCGGTACCTACGGAGATCAGGATGGCTAATAGTCGATTATCTTTCAAAACCAAGGTTTGCGAGCATTTACAAAAAAAAAACTGATAGATTTGGTTCAAACATAAGTGATCTCTTATTATGTTATTTAGTTTTTATTTTGGTATGTATATGTATAGAATTATTAAATGATATCGGTATTGGATGTATGTGTACATATATAGAGGTATGTATGACTGTATATATAATTATCTAAGTAAGTATTTATGTATTGTATTTTGCTTAGTCACTTGCCACTTTCATCAGATGTCAGTGAAGCTTTTAAACCCTTTTTCAGTGAGAAGATATTTGGCGATATTTGCCTAATATAATAATAATATTTTCCATTGCCAGACGTCGTAACAGAACAAAACTAATTCTTCTTTTTCAGTTGTCACGTTAACTATTAATTTCACGGGCAAAATGTTTTACTAGCGCCTAGCTAATATATTTCTTAAACCGGCATTAGCTTCTAAAACTTCAATATAAAATCAACCTTGAGACGTCCACAGTAACCGGTTTCCACCCCAAATTAAAATACAAATTAAATATATTATAAAAATAATCAATACAACCTTTTATATTTAAGCCGTTCAAGTGAAAAAACCTTTTCGAAGTAATCTTCAAAAGGCCCCTTTATATTCACAGGTAAAAGAAAATCGGGGCCCCTTGCAAAAATTAGCCCCTAAAAGGGGTGGAATGGGGTGTTGGGGGGGTCGTTTTAAGAGCATTTTTCTCCATACTGGGCGTTTCATTGTTACGACTTTTTGTAAGTGAATTTCGGAGATATACCCGTTTTTTGGGCTTAAGTGGGTGTGTATATTATATGAAAAATGTTGATGGACTTTTTTGTAACAAAGAGCGAACATTATGTTTTGTGAAACCATCTTGTAGTGATAATGATTCATTGTCACTTTGATTGAATAGGTTAAATTTTAGGGGTCAATCACTGCCTTGACCAGTCTGATTGGACTTTTGAACCCTAAAATCCCAGAAACATAACTTAATACACAATTCAACAAAGGTTATAATTATACACAATATTTTCCACTAAGCGCCGATCACTAATAACTTGAAGAAACTAATCACACAACCTTACCTCAGCAGCTTAAGTGATTGTCATAAAGCGCCAGCTAACAAAAAGAACAAAAATAAAAATCATTTATTTCATAAAAACTCCTCTGTACCTATCTGTTATCACAACAAATCCGAAATCGGTTTATAAAACACCTACCTACGTTCTAAATCACTGCCTAACATGGACGAAAACATCCCATCTTTAAAAAAAGGTCTTATTTTTTCCTCTAAACTCCGCCTTTCGTTCAGTGGCTGGACTAACCGAGGGTTGAGGGAAGAGGTGATCCCTCCCAGCTTATAATTATTTGGATCCAAAGTTACTCCCTCAGATTAAAATATTTATTTTTGCGATGGAAAGAAAAAGTACGGTTGGGTACAGTCGGGGTGAAAAATGGGTGATCGAAATCGTTTTTTTATGATGACGTAGAATAATAGGTAATTTTATAAGAATAGGAGGATAGACAATGATGATAATTATGTGTTGTGAATGACGTTTTTTGCCACATGAATGAACCACAGAAGTATTATTATAGTTGAAGAGAAACCTTTCATTCTACATCGAAGTTATACTTCTACCTGTAAACGATCTGAAGTCTTCGTCTTCAAACGATGTGATAGTTAAAGTTTAATGGTTTCTTAACGCACTCATTTTTCAAATACAATAAAGAACCTAATGGGTGAAGGAAGTCTTACCCCTCATACTTAACCAAACCATATTTTATTTCGATACCAACTTAAATATACATCAATACACTAAATAATCGAAACACATAAAATAATTTACACTTGACAAATAAAACAATAAGATAATTAATTTAAATACAAATGAGTGCAACTGTACACACGCGACGATACTCGCCTGTCCTTAAAAGGGTTTGCACCAAAATATAATTTCGGAGTTGACTGTACTTCATTTTCATAGAGAAAGCTGTAGAGATACGGTTGACTGTAATTTTTTTGTTAGGTTTGTTACCGAAACTTATATTTTTTATTGCATGGTTATTAATACAATGTTACGGTTGGGCAGCCTGCTGCTGCGTAACCTGTAGCGGGTTCAGTTCTCTTATAGGACAACTCTTTATGATAAATGTAATTCAGGGCCTAGGTGCGAAGTACATGTTTGTACGCAGTAATTACATAGGACAAAATCAAGTTCAAAAATGGGGTTTCTAAACTGTTGAGCCTCATGTTTCTAGACAATTTCATTATTGACAGTACAATGTCTCGATTACTTCAACTTTGATTGCTCTAACTGGGTTTCCGTAGTACTCTAAGGTCGGCAGTTGCATTAACAATATTCAACCAACTACATACATTGATAGTTAAAATCACACCAGACTATGCAAGTGATATAAATAAAAAATAAATAAACATAGACCGTCTCCACACCACTCGATATTCCCGAGAACCTTTCTAATGGAAAAAAGGATAAAATGTTAGGGGCTACCTTTTAATATTTTTTTCATTAAAGTTTTTAATATTAATACGTATGTATCGGAGTTAGGTTCCCCGGCAATTATTTTTCCTACTTTACCTTTTCCGGGAGTTTCGGCACGAGTGAGTTTGAGGGAACTAAGTAAGCGGTTATTGGAAATTATGTATTAATGTGTTTGGTATTGTCTAGATGAGGATATATGCGTCTTAGATATTAATATAATTGTATTTGTTTCAGGTGCAAATGTACGTAATAATACCTACCCAGTTATTCCAATATTAATAACTGGGTATACAATTATCTAAGTAAGTATTTATACATAGGTATTTATTAATTATTAATATGCGCTTAATCACCTGCCACTTTCATCTCTGCACCACCTTAAGGTCGACTGTAAGACAATGCACAAGGAATTAAGTTTGCCTGTACATGTGTTTTCGTACTAAGACTAAATAAATAAAAAAAAATGGTTTTATCGCCATTAAATGTTCCCATGGAATAAAACAGGAATCATTGTACTCGGACGAAGTCATGAGCAACAGCTAGTATAATAATTATTTTATAGGATTCTATGATTTATCAATTTCGTAGTTAATTGTTTTAAAATATTATTTTCGTGTTATTAAAGTAAATAATAGTATTGTAACTTTCGTGAGACATACAAAATAAATTATTATGTTTTCGGCTCACTCACGTAGTAATTCGCAGTAGCAGCGCGACAGTCGCAGCGTCGCGGGTCGCGAAATGCTGCTCATGAATATGAGCCTCTAACATGGCTTGAAACTAGTCGAGTTCCTCGTCAAACATTTACGTGAGTAAGCCGAAAACATAATAGTTTGTAAATAATAGTAACTATGATACCTTTATTAGAAGAACAAGAAATGAAACAGACTTATGAATAGTTTAAATCCACAATAACAATTTTTAATGTTACCATAAAAACAATCAACTTACTACCAAATCTCGCTGGTTTCATGGCCAAATAATCTTTTTGTATATAAAAAATGTGCAGGTGTATTAAATTTAATTTGTTTTCCCTCACTGTCTGGCTCTGGGCTCGAGTTAATTCCGTCTCAGCGACTCGCTACCATTTTCTGAAGTACGACTGTCGGTTTTAGATAAAATAAGTAACAAATGTTTTAAATTGAATGCTTTTTTATTGTTGGGTGCTTTTTTGATAGTGGTGGCTTTTCGGAAAAAAATGTTTTAATGGAAAGTTTAAATGGAAAACTGTAATTGGTTATTTATATATATGAAACGTAGCAGTTTGTGTTGCATAGTTTCTGCTAAGCCCTATGGAAGACAGCTGTGAGGTTATGTATGTATGTGATTGGGTTTTTCGATGTTTCTAGTTCCTATTATTGTCTATTAGGTATTGTAATTTTATTCTCTGTATTGGCAGAAAGTTTACAAAAACATAACGTCACGGCACTCTGCCCACTGGCATGAGGCAGACAGAAGTGATAAAAATCTATTGTTGGTTCTCTAAACTAATGCAATAAAATAAAAAAAGTAAAAATGAATCTTATAATGTAGATACATATAAGATCCATTATCATTAATTATACACTGATAAGATTCCGAATGAATCTTGTGTAATAGAAAGTGTACCTTCTGCCGAACAAGAGGCATAATTCCAGATACCATGACTAAAGTTGTTTTCGTACAACCAAAAATCGTAAATAACATTTTATGTCTCGAAGATTTAACTCGAGACATCAAGCACAGCGGGAGCACTAGCAATCTACAAATGAAACAATCATAAGCATAATAATTAAATAACATAAAAATCTTATTAACTCGTATACGAAGAATCCTAAGTGAATGAACTCTGTAAAGCTTAAAAAGTTGTGCCAACACGACTCTAACGCCATCTCGTATCGAGTAGCAAAAGCTTAGAAATCAAGAAGCTCTTACATAAAATAAATATTTATTTTATTTCAATAGTCTGGTAATCCTATTTTTATATTTCATTGTTTTATTTTTATTTCAATAAATAATTTTGTTACTTATTCTATGAACAACGTTTAAGATTTGACGCACTCTTTACTACCGCCATCTTGTGATGAATAGTAAAACTGATTTTAATCTAATAAGAAAGTTCGTTGGTAAGAAAAATATAACTCAACTTTAACTTTTTTACACTTGCTTTGTTGTTATAAATTACGGTAATTTTGGATATTACTGA